ACTTCAAGAAATAAATTCGAGAGTTGGAAATTTAAACTTTAGTTTCCCTCTAATTCTCTACCCTCTTTAAATTTCAAGTCTCCCATACTACTTGTGAGTCGGGTAAAGTCTTTTTAGCTAAATTTTAGCTAATTCTGTTTTTTTTTAAACAAAGCAGAAACATACTTGAATTTGGGTACGAAGAAAAATGGTGACTTAGTAAAACCACCGTATCGCGTTTCGACATTCGTCTGATATTATAAAATTAAAGCGCTTTCCTCCTGGTACTTGGAAAATGCATAAAGACCTGTTTTAATTAAAACGTTCATTTTCAAATGAAAGAGGAAAGGTAAAGAGCGCCATTCGTAGAACTAAACATGCTAACCGCTCAAAAACGTTTTGCCTTTTTTGCAAAATACGTTGGAAAATGTAAATATCATGACGATTAATTATGTAGAAACTTGTAAATATTAAAACATATTTGACTGCTTGTCTTGTCCTAAATTTTTAAAGTAATCGTGTAGTTAAAGTTTACCTAATGCTCTTTTTTCATCATCTTGAACGTGAAAGTTCTTTGGTAAACATCAATACTTACTACATTCTAAAAAATACAACATTAAGAATTAACCAAATTGATATGGGACCAACTCAAGTTTCAATCATCTCTACTGTTAGCTACTTTAAAACCTAGTAATATTGCTCTGTTTAAATAATGAATCTTGAAAGAATGAAAGAACAATATTTCTGCATTGCTCATCAAATTACTCGAGTATTTTGATCTCTTGTTGAGCTTACAATTCCAGAGCTTTAAATAAATAATGTCGACCGAGTGGAATTTACTCCAGTGTTCGTAGATTGCAAGAGAAAATGGAGAAAAGCAACACAATAGTTAGTTTTTAGACTTATCCCGGGACACGCGTAAATTTTAGTTTGTATAACCGCTGTAAGTCCACGATATGTGTTATCCGTTGTAATAAGGGAGAGGTCCGGCAATTTGGACCAGTTTTTTTCAATCCCATTTTACACATAGTTTTCTTTTGTTTTTGCTAATGTTCATGGTATATAATTAAAGAAAAATTATTAAACTTACTATTTCATAGGTATTAATCAACATAATTGTTGTATATTTAGCACAAATCAACAAAATACGAGTTCAAAGCGTCGGTCCAATTTAGCCAACCGGTTCGATAATTTGTACCACATGGTTAATAAATTCTATTTCAATAAATTTCAAGCCTTTAAAAAAACTATGGCATAATATTATATGATACATCCTTAACAAATTAGGTAACGAAAAGGAGCAGTAGTTAATAACATAGACAATCGATATTGTTTTACACGTTATCACGATTTTGAGTACAAGTTTTGTAATTCCAATTATCGTAACGCACACTTCTACCTAATCTACTTTGCCAGTCTTTTGCTTTCATTTATTGTTAGTCAAACATAACTACGCTATTATAACTTCAAAATATAATTAACTAAAAAAAAATTCAAAATCCTTTGGTAAAGTTCCATACAACTTGATGTGGTACAATTTAGCCGACAAGGTGATAGTGCTTTTAAAAAATCGGTAAAAAATATAGCTTGTAAATACCGAAAAATGTTTCAAATAATTGTAATCCACACTAATTTACGCTTCTAAATAATATATTAGAAACATCCTGTGATTAAATTTAACAAAATTACAAACTAAACATGCATTGTCAAAAGTTACTTGAAAACAATGAAAAAATAATTTTCAAAATAAAACACACGTGTTCGTTGTCGCGGCAAAAACCAATTGGCCGATATTAATTGAATTTAGTTGTGTATCGCTAAGTGTTGCAATTACAGACATTCAATAAATACTTTACGAAATATAAGGGTGGTACAATTTACCCGGCGGTACAATATACCGAACTCTCCCCTATAATGTGACCCTAAGGAACTCTTTATATCCAGAAAAAGTATTATAAGGTATCGTAAATTTTCTTTCACCATTTGTATCAAGTTTACGTAATTCTCGCGTCTCTGCAACTTTTTGTGTCTGGAAAAAGCTGTCTTATAAAAAAAATTCAAGCAAGCTGCACGCAAGGCTAGTCAGGAGACAAATAAATGGCATATTTTTGTCATTTATTGATAAAACAATAATTGTGTATAACAGAATTTAAGTACATGAACGACTTATCTGGTATGTTACAAATTACAGTGCCAATTTAGCTGTATAAATAACGTAGACCGACGACATCGTAAAGGTAGCAGGGAAGCGCTGAACGCAGGCCGCTACTAATCGATCAACATGGAAAGCATTGGAGGAGGCCTATGTTCAGCAGTGGACGTCCTATGGCTGAAATGATGATGATGATGATGAATAATGTAGCTTACGTATCACGTGTCCAACCGACTGCATAATATCATAATTCGTATTGTAATATTCCTATGCCATTTTGCAACCAACCAAGATGTAAAGTCTGAATTGTGCTGTCGATGTTACTTGAAGCAGATTACATTAAAAAGGATAAACATCATCACAAAAAATAAGATCCTCCTAAGAAAACCAATAAATATTAATGTAAATCGTTTTCAATTTACATAACTTGGAAACGGGGTGTATTGTGAATTGGGTGTTTCATAGATTACTTTTTTATGGGTTGACCCACAAAAGGTGAGGAAATCTGTTTAAAATTCAGGAGATTTCACCTTTTTTATCCTCTGACACTCTTAGTAGACAGAGTTATGAATATTTTTATGGCTTTAATGAGACTTTTATGGGACTTTATCATGTAAGTACTTTGTAATACTGAAAAAACATTACGTGACTATTGCAACTCTTGTGTAGCCAGGATCTACAGCTTGACCGCCAATAAAATCCCAACCAATTAAGCTCAATTTGGTGCCGGGGGAAGTTAAACTGTCATTGTACCCGCAACGAAATTAATCAGAAGAACATAAGAGGAGTTCGAAGTTAAGGTTCGACTTCACTCCAATGCAAAGAGAATGAGAGGAGACCAAACAAAGGTTTAAGTAATTTTTAAGAAAATATATGCACCACGTCAGTACCGAAGCATCAATTATGGAGCCACCTATCTTATGAGCCCCATCTTATGAGCTATTAGTTACCTGTCAATAATATTTTACAAAACCTCTTACAAGCACGGAAATACGACTGTTAATTTACTGAAAACAAATTGTGAAACCGTATCATTACACTTACTTGCATGTTTTTTAATGATCTATAAGATGATGAGATCATGTATTGAAGTAAAATCGGTTTCTAATATCGAACTGCTGAGGTAGTTAGGTAATCTTTCCTGAATAACTATATCCTGGGACTCCGAAAAGCCGGGTTGGAGCTATCTTTTTTAAAATTCTCGGATGATTCCAGAGGCTAAGGTCGTAAAACCAGCCTAGTTAATATTCCGCGCAAAGGTATTGACGAGATAGATTATACGCCAGCGCTATCGCCCAAAAAGAACGTTAAAAAAAATATTGCTCTTACTATCGACGTATTTTGAGATATTAGGATTCTAAATTCCATGCAAAAATACATATGCAAATAATTAGGTACCTCCTTGTTGAAACAATATTTGATGAATTTCAGCTCTTATATGATTACACTGTTAATAGATAAAAAATGCCATTGCTATTTAGATAAAAAGTACCGCTATTTATAGGGGACTATCGAGACGGGGATTTACCGTAGAGAGATTAATAGTTCCTTACGTTTCCCCTTTAGGTTTGTAGCCGTTAGCAAAGATTTATTCAAATGGATTCGAAATTTAAATTGCTGCGTTCTAAAATCAAAAATTTCATTTTAAATTGTGATCCCGCCTCCTTACTTTCATTGTGGTTTAGCGAGAAGGTTGTTACATAGCTCATTAAGCTGCCAGCAATAAAAATAAATGGGAAATTTTCCTCCTTATTCATCAAAAAGCCCAACCCTACTGCGTGGAATAAAATTGGATCAAGATGAGAGAAAAGCTGACATATTTTCAGGTTAATTAGTATTTTCATTTCGACATAAACGAGATAAAAATCATGAACCAATTTTTTCGGATACTGCCCCAAAATAAGCAAAGACGATAACGATATTATATTTGGATAGATTCGCATTACACAATATATTTCGGTTTCAGCCAGGTCGCCCACTGCTGGGAACAGACAAAGAATTTTCACAACAAACGGTCCTAGCCTGCTACCCATATCCCGGTGCTTCAGCGATCTTCACTATCGCGGTCCACCGTGAACATACAAAACTACTGGTACATATTTATCGTTTCAGCCAAATGACGTCCACTGCTGGACAAAGGCCTCCCCCAAGGTTTTCCACAATGAACGGTCCTGCTCTGCCCGCATCCAGGCTCTTCCCGCGACTTTTACCAGATCGTCGGTCCACCTAGTAGGAGGCCTGCCCACGCTACGTCTTCCAGCCCGTGGTCGCCACTCGAGAACTTTCCTGCCCCAACGGCCATCGTCTCTACGAGCTATGTGCCCCGCCCACTACCACTTGATTTTAGCAATTTATTGGCTGTACTTATTCTCTAAACTCCAATGAACAGTTTTTCTTAATGCAGAACAAGGTATTTGACCGCAATCGCACCTGATATTAAGTGAGATGCAGTATAGGATGGTACATGCGTGCCCTGTAAGTGCCTATTCACTCTCGCCTTGAAAATGCCCGGATTATAGTGTTCGGGAAACACAGCAGAAGGCAGCAAATTCCAGTCCCTAGCTGTTCGCATTATAAAAGTGTGTTAGCGAAACGGTTATTGTAGTAATATAAATGTTCATGCTCATCATCATCATACTAACATTTGCCCTATACGGGATTTGAACCTGAAGTTCAACTGATGTAGTTTACCTTAAGTATTACCTATTTAAAAACTTAGGGTCCAAAATATACATCTAGAAACATGTCAGGCAGCGTGTCAAGCCAAGTTCAAGCAAAGGAGGCTAGCCAGCGCCGAGTGTAATATTATCACCTTTTTACAACTTTTTTGTTTTTGGTGAGATTTAAATAAATACACTTTTTGTTACAGATATGCTCCAGTCGTTATTACAGCCCAGAGATAATCAGCGGTGTAAGTTTATTCATTTATTGTACCACAATATTAATGACCAGTACACGAAAAGCTTTGCCTTACGCAAATAATAAATCCAATTTTATGGCACCACACACACCATATGCCATAATGCCAAGTATTGCCAAGATATGCCACGACATTCAACGAAAAGCTATGGGCTTAACACGCTGTCTACCTATGCCTAAAATTTCATCTGAGGAATATGCATGGAAAACTATTTTTCCCATAAAGTACGACTAAATCAAAAGAAGACTGAGAACATCCATTAATTCAACAATATTTTTGTTATCATTGTAATTGAAATAGTTTTTATATCAAACAATATTCTACATATAAATCTGCATTATAAAAATACTTCCATTAATTTAATTAAAAAAGCCATGCATATTCTTTATTAAGATAATAAAAAGCAGCAAGCGTTATTAATTTAGCAAAATCATGCTTCAAACAAAGCTGAAGCTAGCAAGCGTTTTATCTCTGGAATACAGTCAAAAGTATACAACAGAAAAGATAAAGTAAAACGAGAAATTGTAAGGAAAATGAAAAATATCAGTCTTTGTTTATTTGGTAAAATGTACAGCCCCTTATAATGGGAGTCGCGTGATTTCCACCCCATAATAGCATTGTTCCGTGAACGTCCCCAAAATAAATAATAAGCATTGAAATTAGGGACTTCTATAGACGCTATATAACTTGGTATTTTGTTGCTTATTCACAAACGATGCTTGCTTAAGTGAAGCAGCAAATCGAACGCACAGCGTTGAATAGAGCTCTGTGATTGGTTCGTGTGTCATCCAGTATGTCCACACGCACTGTGAGACCTTATAGTAATGTTTGTCAATACGGGCGAAAATGAGGAACTAGTTTTCCTTTATTGAGGCAATATACATACAAGTTTTAATAGAATTTACGAGTACCTCCATTTTGTACTTAAAAGATGCAGCGAAAGAAACTCAGTATTTCCAAAATATTTTCCAAAGATTATAGCAAGGAACAGATATACATATTTTGTACTTTCTTCTTTATATTAACTCTATTTTAACTATGTACTTTTAATATGTGAATTGATGAGCCAAATGTCTTCTTCATGCTTCGCCTGGATATCGGTTTGTTGAACTAATTGATGTAAGTAATCCACGAGTTTTATAATATCTATTGTATATTCTAAAGTAAAGACAATATTGAAAGAATCTGATTCGTAGTTCCAGAGAGTATCCCAAAAACATAAACAGGGTGTCCCAAAAAAAAGTCAGGCGGAAGTCCGGTGGTAGAGCACCCTTAGGGGTAGGTACCCGAGTCACCCCATGTTTGTTCTGCTATTTTTTGTAGAAATTTTGTTTTTAAGGACCTCCTACACATCTTAGCCCTTATTTTTCGGTTTCGGCCGCACGGTATTCGATCCTATAATCAACGTTCAGGGCAACCCTCTATTAAGTTTTTAGCTTAAAATTTTTGTTCTGCATAATTCATTTGTTTTTTTCTTTCAGAAGTGCCAATAATTTCACTTTCTCACCTAGAAAGTTGTTTGAAATATCTAAAACCTAAATGGCTAAGGTTACACGTCCCGGTTGACCAGGACGAGTCCCGGTTTGAAATATTTTTTTTCATTTAAATTATAGCCTTGTTTCGCGCTCGCTTCGCTTGCGCTTTAATTTTAAGTTGCTTTACCAGTCCGATGTGTTCTCATTCACCCGTGCGAAACCGGGGCGGGAAATCCATAGACAATATTGGGAACTAAGCACTAGATATTGGTAGAATCGAGAGAGAATTTAAGAGTAGGCGCACACCGTTGATTTTTTATCGGCCGATAGTTTAGTCGGGCAGTTGATCAGTATGGGCATGTATGGGAGTGCGCACACTACGCCGATTCGATTTGGCCGATTCTTCATACAATTTAAAATCGGGCACAACTATCGGCCAACTAAAAATCAACGGTGTGCGCCTACTCTAAAAGTTGGGAGAAAACAATTGTGGTAATGATCATCACCTTTGCCCCGCAGCCAAAATGATTGGCGCTATGCCAGCAGTTGCTGTGCGCCATGAACGCCGGCGAGCTGAGAAGAGGGGCACAGGGGGGCGCCGGCCCTCCCAGCTGCCCCTCCAGATGGGGCGAATGCCAGACATGGACGCCACTCCGTCCCCGGACACCCACCGTCTGAGGAACGAGCTCTATGTGTGTGGGAAGGTGAGTGAGGTGAGACTTTTGAATCCTATTACTGATGAGATCCAAAGAAGACCCGTGTCCGAATGCACCCCCAACCCATGCGAAACTAGCATGAGTGTGAGATGAAGTAAGTGGTTATTTGGAATTCCTTTAGAAAATGCGTCCATTTCAGAGTAATCAATCGTGCATCAACTGCTTTAGGTAGCGTTTCGAAAAGGTAAGTGAGATTTGGAGAGTGAGTGTGTCTCTTGTAGTATAGTTGTAGGTTAAAGCTTTCACTTCACGGTGCCAGATGGCTATAATCCATATTATTGTCTCCATAACACCATTAGTATTTGATATTAACATGTATATTATCAGAGAATGAAAAAGTCAAGCCAGCATCTGACTCGAACACTCTGATATACTATTTTCAGTAATATTCACCTAACACTGGCTTGCAATACCATGTAACTAAAATCTCATATTTATAGAGTTCGAGTAAGGTGCAAGTTCGTATGCGACTCCACACAGCAGCAGCAAGCGACACGTTCTATGATATACACTCGCGAGCAAAAGTATGGAATCACTTACATGAAGTTGTTTCCACGCGATCTTGTGTACTAACGAATTTGTTAGTAACAAAAAAAGTAGCACCATTTTAAAGATAAAACTTTTAAATTTAAATTGATACCAAATTCATTTAAATCACACCAGTATTTAAAAAGATATCGCGGTTGATGTGAAGAAGTAAGGAAAAAGACATGTATCAACTGTTTGATACGTCGCGAGCTCGCGAGTTGCGGCCTATTTACCCCTTATAAAAGCACGTGTTTTCGGATTTTTGCTTTCACACGTTGATCCATACACATCTCCGCTTCTTTTGACACTTTACTTGGGATTCTACGCCTTCAGAAGCAGCACAAATCGTTGCAATATTGCAACAAGGGCTCAACCAGCGGGCTGTCGCACGTCAGCTCCACATAAGCCAGTCCTGGGTTTAGAAAGTTTTAAGACGCTTTTGGGAGACTGGTGGCTTTATCCCGAGACCAAGTTCTGAACAGCGCCGGTGCACATCGCAGAGGGATGACCGTTTTTTCATGTCAACCTCTCCATAAAATCGTCATTTGACTGGTATCGAAGTCCAGCAAGAGCTCAAAAATGTTCGTAGGATAGCTGTTAGCAAGTGGACAGTTCGTCTAAAATATAAGCAATAGAATTTGACTCCAAAAAGGCCTGCCACAGGCTCGAAACTGATGGCAGGTCACCGATAAGCACGCTTTCAATTTGCTCGTATACATCTCGATGGGAAGTCGAGCAAGCCACCCCTATAAGCCACTGTTTCAGCGAACCAGCACTGCACAAATTGCTCCCCAGGCCGCCTATAGAGCCGACCTCTTCGACTGCTGCACTGCAAACACAGTCTGCATTCATTGGAGAACAAAACTCGCCTCCATTACTCGCCTTCCCATCAAAATGTGTGCGAGCAAATTAAAGGCGTGTTTGTCGGTGACCTGCCGTCAGTTTCGAGACTGTGGCAGTCCTTTTTCGGGTCAAATTCTATTGCTTATATCTTAGACAAACTGTTCACTTGCTAACAGCTATCCTACGAACATTTTTTAGCTCTTGCTGGACTTCGATATCAGTCAAATGACGATTTCATAGAGAAGTTGACATGAAAAAACGGTCATCCCTCTGCGATGTGCACCGGCGCTGTTCAGAACTTGGTCTCGGGATAAAGCCACCAGTCTCCCGAAAGCGTCTTAAAACTTTCGAAACCCAGGACTGGCTTATGTGGAGCTGACGTGCGACAGCCCGCTGGTTGAGCCCTTGTTGCAATATTGAAACGATTTGTGCTGCTTCTGAAGGTGTAGAATCCCAGGTAAAGTATCAAAAGAAGCGGAGATGTGTATGGATCAACGTGTGAAAGCAAAAATCCGAAAACACGTGCTTTTATAAGGGGTAAATAGGCCGCAACTCGCGACGTATCAAACAGTTGATACATGTCTTTTTCCTTATTTCTTCACATCAACCGCGATATCTTTTTAAATACTGGTGTGATTTAAATGAATTTGGTATCAATTTAAAGTTAAAAGTTTGATCTTTAAAATGGTGCCACTTTTTTTGTTACTAACAAATTCGTTAGTACACAAGATCGCGTGGAAACAGCTTCATGTAAGTGATTCCATACTTTTGCTCGCGAGTGTACTTTCAGACGTGTCGCTAGCAACGGATGCTATTTCATAGAAATACGTACGTAGCATTCGTTCCTAGCGACACGTCGTCTGAAAGTATTTCATAGAAATTGTCGTCTGCTGCTGCTGCGTGGAGTCGTCTACGAAATCATACCTTAAAACTATTTCCATCATCCTAAGTCTAACAAAGACTTCCCGATCATCTCCAGGTGGCAGCACTACACGCCGTGGTGGGCTCCCTTCTCCTGGGCATCGTGGTGCTGGTGGTGGGGCTAGTGCAGCTGTCGCCGGGGGCGGAGGCCGCGCAGCACCGCTACTACCTGATGGGGGCTGGTGCGGCCATGGTGGGGGCTGGCGTGCTGGGAGCTGTGCTGAGGTAAGGTCTTGCTTAGTCAAGTTTTTGGATAGTTCATAGGTAGATAGAAAGTAACAACGTAGAGACAGAGGGCAGGGCTTCTAGCTGATGGGAGCTGGTTCAGCTATGGTGCTGGGAGCTGTGCTAAGGTGAGACCTTATTCAAGGTTTTGGCTCTATGGTGAGACGATACTTGGCTCGGGATGATGCATTATAGGTTATAGATAGTGAGCACCAATACAGAGACAGGGGGAAGGGTTTCTAGCTTATGGGAGCTAGTATAGCTATGGTGAGGCTGGCGTATTCGACGCTATGATGAGGTAAGCACTGATCATCTTCAGGTGGCAGACTCGATTTTTATTCAGAGTTGATGCGCAGACGCGGGCGTTTCTAACGGCTAGGTCCATCCGTATCGTTCACAGTGATGAGCGTCTGTTAGATGTGACTACGGTGGTTCTAAACTATTTTGGTTCACCTGCCCAATCGCGGCACTGTGAGCAGTAGACGCCAAGACTCATAGCGCCCGCGCCTCCACTCCGAATGAGGCCCTACACGCTGTAGTACGCTCCCTTCTCCTGGGCTTCGTGGTGCTGGTGGTGGGGCTAGTGCAGCTGTCGCCGGGGGCGGAGGCCGCGCAGCACCGCTACTACCTGATGGGGGCTGGTGCGGCCATGGTGGGGGCTGGCGTGCTGGGAGCTGTGCTGAGGTGAGACCTTGCTTAGTCAAGTTTTTGGATAGTACGGTCATAGGTAGATAGAGAGCACCAACGTAGAGACACAGGGCAGGGTTTCTAGATGATGGGGGCTGGTTCAGCTATGGTGCTGGGAGCTGTGCTGAGGTGAGACCTTATTCAAGTTTTTGGCTCTATGGTGAGACGGGACTTGGCTCGGGCTGATGCATTGAAGGTTATAGATAGTGAGCACCAATACAGAGACAGAGGGCAGGGTTTATAGCTGATGAGAGCCGCCGGGGGCGGAGGCCGCGCAGCACCGCTACTACCTGATGGGGGCTGGTGCGGCCATGATGGGGGCTGGCGTGCTGGGAGCTGTGCTGAGGTGAGACACTTCTGCAGGACTTGGAGGCGAACTGTCATATAGTGGCGATCACAATCGACACCGGTTGCAGTGATACTAGGACTCTATTAAACTAGAACAGCCGCTCAACAAAAAAAAGACACTAGGCCTAATTTTAGAGACGTAACTTGGGTTAGGACACCAACGCAGCTACAGTGGATTGCATAGGTCATGAATAAGGAACATCAAGACAAAGACAGTGGATAGTAGACAGAGGGAACTCGCAAAGTTCGTCATGTAATGATGTGGGCCAGTCTCATAAAACTCTTTAGGTATATCTGCTGTGCCTCTGGCAAACAATACAGTGACAAGACACAACACTGTAGTCCTAAAATTGAAAACCATCAACTTCAACGTTAGTTCCGAATATTTTAATAAGAGTCACAAGAATAACATCTAAAACTCACTTTATAACCTAGGCTATAATTTAGGTCACATGCTCACCGGCCATAACGCCCGCCTGGCCGTAGAGTTCTAACCTAATTACCGTCCTTACGCTCATCCTACCTAGGCAATTAGATCTGGAACTAATTGGCATACCTAGTCGGTAGGCAGGTAGAATAATAAGATAAATACTGGAACTGTTAATAAGATCCCTTGAAAATTTATAGAATAGCAAAACATGTCCCAAGTCATAATAGAGACGCTAAAGATGTGTTATCGATGTATGAATAGGATTGATCGATCTTCCACGAAAGCTTATTTATCACTAGCTGCATGTGCCCGCGACTTCGTACGCGTGAAAACCCGTTTTCGCAACATTTTTCATTTTTTTTCTGTACCTATTACTCGTAGCGTGATGGTATATAGCCTATAGCCTTCCTCAATAAATGGGCTATCTGACATTGAAAGAATTTTTCAAATCGGACCGGTAGTTCCTGAGATTAGTGCGTTGAAGTAAACAGACAAACAAACAAACTCTTAAGCTTTATAATATTCGTATAGATTAGCTTTAGATCTGTGGGTTTCTTTTATCAGAGCGTTCAGAAACACCACCAGATGATACTTTCAGTCATTTCTCTCTCATAAATTAGATAGAGTCTAATTTATCAGATACAAATGGATGATTCGGCTTTTGCTTGCAGTTTAATATGCAAATACGATCTTACTGCATAAAATATACACACATATTCTGTGTTCAAATTCCTCACGGACGAATCAGCATCGAGTCTCGAAAAGTCATCCTTCGTCGTAAATGTATTTTATTCTTCATAAAGCGGCGGAAGATCCGAAGGGTACCCAAGATGAGATAAACTTTCTTTTACACCAATTTTACTTCCATTCGCGTTTTTATCACCGGAAGGATGTTGTGGATGGCTTAAGCCTTCGAACACTTCCTCGAAAAGGTAGCACGAGTAAAATAATAATATGCCCGCTATCAATTTATTTATTTAAGTACTAGCGGCCGCCCGCGACTTCGTACGCGTGGATCCCGTTTTACCCCCTTAGGGGTGGAGTTTCGTAAAATCCTTTCTTAGCAGATGCCTACGTCATAACATCTACCTGTATGCCAAATTTCAGCCCGATCCGTCCAGTGGTTTGGGCTGTTCGTTGATAGATCACTATGTCAGTCAGTCAGTTGCCTTTGAGTTATAATATTTAGATTTTGTTTTTACTCCATAACTGTGAAAAGTTCCCAAATGAAACCCGAACGCTTTTCTTTTGATAGTAATGTCGAAAACAGAGTCACGCACCACAGAAATAAATTGATGCAATAAAAGAAGCAACATTAAGGCCTAATTCACACGAGAGCTTTTTTAACGTCCGTTAAAAAAGCGTTCAAATAGAACATATGCATACCCAAGTACGTGTTCACACGTCGGCGCTTTTAAAACGCGACGCTTTTTTATCGAGCAGTGTTGCATTTTCAACGCAGAGCGTTGGGAATAGGCTTGGGTATGCNGTTCAAATAGAACATATGCATACCCAAGTACGTGTTCACACGTCGGCGCTTTTAAAACGCGACGCTTTTTTATCGAGCAGTGTTGCATTTTCAACGCAGAGCGTTGGGAATAGGCTTGGGTATGCATATTATGTTCTATTTGAACGCTTTTTTAACGGACGTTAAAAAAGCTCTCGTGTGAATTAGGCCTAACTAATTTTGGACGTCCAAAAAGAAAGGTAAAAGCGCTTTTTAAAAGCCTATTAGCAGGAAATAAAAAAACTTTTGAGAAGGCAACAATAACAATTAATAAAATAAGACAATACTAAGGCTGAGTTGCACCATCTTATTTTGACTTTAACGAACGTCAAAAATCTATCAAAATCCATACAAAAAGCACCGGTTATTGTTAAAGTTACGGTCAAAGTAAGTTGGTGCAACTCAGCCTAAGAAAAATTTGTGCTAAAATGTTTAAAACCAGAAGATTGGTGTAAATAAATATCAACAGGCGGTGGTGGTCTACCATCAGGTGACGTACTCATCCCAATTTAGACGATAGTTAGTAGTTAGAGAAACATTAAGAGCGTTTACGCCGTTTGGCGCAAAAACAGTACTTTTTCAACTCGTTACAATCATTAACCAGTAATACTACAAATATGTTATAGGCATAAATAGTTAGGCAATTTCGTCGTCTAAGTAGTTAATTGAGAAAATATTGCGATTAGTTTAGTATTTAAGAATTCTATCAAGATAAGTCCACACAGGTTTTGTAAATTTCCACTTTAGCGTCAGTTTACAAGCTGAAATTTTTATAAAAATACTGTGAAAACGATTTAAAAAACATTTATATCCTATAGCATAGATCCTTGGGCAAATAGTTATCTGAGAAAATTTTTAGATTTAAGCATTTTACAATAAGAAATCACAAATTAAAAGAACGTGACATACCCAAAAATCAAAGTGATTTTTTCACCAATATTCTTCCTTTATTCAACATAAAAATAGCTTAATATAATAAAACAACATCTTCTTTAAAATATTTACTTTGAAACGATATTTAATTCATTGTTATTGTTTTGCTATAAACATTTGAAAACTATTAAAAAACGCCGCGCGCGAATCATTTCCAATGATGCCCCTTGAAACGCCGCGCTTCGCGTAAACGCTCTTAATATCAAATCAGTGTTTGTTGTGGTGTATCATCATTCGTTCATTAAATACAATACACACAAAGATCATTAGTAAATGAGACCGCACCCTTGTGACTACACAATAATTATACAGCGTGGTTTTTGAGGAGGGGAGTTAGGGGGTGGATTGAAGGGGATTGGAGGGGAGTTAGACTGTAGTGTGTTTAGGAAACTTTTCCTGACATTTGGAAAAATATAGAGTCAGAAAAAATATAATGAGTTTAATTAATCCAACTAATATTAGAGTAAGTTGGAAATAAAAGCGCTGGTAGGGTAAAAAGATTATAAGACATGTAGAGGCTCCTTAAGAGCATATTTTATGACGATTTGTAAGAACTATTTATTAGTCTAAACAAATAAAGAAATTTTGACTTTGACTTTGACTTTGACTTTAATAGAAAATGAGAACGTAAGCACGGACGACAGCGCAGCAAACTAAACTCAATGGAGTCTTGTATCGTTGTAATACAGGTTACTTTGCAAAAAATACGTTAGAGATCGGATTTGTTGTCGACTGTACATAAAATACGACTCCAATAAATCACTTATTATGAATTTTGTGATACTTAATATCGGTTGAGATTGTAAAAGCCCATTAAATAGAATTTACACTTCACGTCAACGCACCATGTGACTGGGGCATAACCTCGGGGCTTTTATGATCCAGACAATACCATCACGTTTTAATTCCCCTCGGGGCTTATCGCTGTAATAAATGCATTGGACTGTACACTTAAGTGTATTACCTCGATAAACCTAGGGATCTACTCTGTAAAACTACGTCGATATGTCGACTCTATCTGTCGCTTTTACAAGGGGAATGAAAGAGAGGGATAAAGGAGATCATGTAGAGTTAAGTTAACGGGATAGACCCCTTGGTTACTCATAGATTAAATGCATTGTTGCAATCGATTGGACGTGCTAGTGCTTTTATGGCGTCTGTTAATGTACAAGTATAAAGAACAAAATGATGTAGGTGTCCATTAACTTGTATATTGTAATACCGTATAAGTATTACTTTTTGGTTTCCAAAGACACAGAATAATAATGGATTTTAATATTTTTACTACCTTCCTTTATCCTACTAATATTATGAATGCGAAAGTTTGGATGTCTGGATGGCTGGATAGATGTTTGTTACTCTTTCACGCAAAAAATACTGAACGGATTTTGATGAAACTTTACAGTATTATTGTTTATAACCCAGCATAACATATAGGCTATAATTTATGACGATATGTGACAAACTAAATTTCACGCGAGTGAAGCCGCGGGCAAAAGCTAGTTATACTTGTAAATAATGCTTTTAGGCATTAACTCCGCTTTAAGCGCGAAGCTTTAATTAAATAATCGCGGTTTATGCGCGACTTATGCCGTTTGCATTAATTTTTCAACCAATTTAAAAACCTGCTACATATTTCTAACCTGTCATTAAAACTATGCTCACAAATATACGGAAATGTAAACTAATTTAAACAAAACTGATGATCCTAAAATAAACTTATATCTTTTTAATTTAACGTGATATTACTCTCGAAGAGGTCCCATGTGGTAAAGGGCTTCTGAGGACTCTCCGCCCTCCTTGCCCTCTCGAAACCTCTGAAGTATCGCTTTGTTCTTTTATTGGATACAAAAAAGGGTAATTTATTGTCCATTTTCTGTGGCCAATTAATTTATGGGACGTCAAATCCATCCTTTTTTGTTAAAACTTTTAATTTGGCTGAGTAAAAAAGGATTATTTTGAAGTAATGAATTATTGTTTACGGCTTGTTTAATAAGCTCTATTGGACACGTTCTATGAAACTTTTAAGAAAATTACTTTTTGGCCACCCTGCAATTATGGAGTCTTATCAAATAATTGTTTTTAATATCTAGATTGTAGGTATACATACATTGTACGAGTATGTAAGGAGATAGATACTATCACTCGTAAATATCTGTCTGACATGGAAAGATTTTACGCGTTTCACGAAATAAAAATGATCTGATTTCTTACCAAAAGCATACTCGTATGTAAGATTTATCCATCGATCTCTTGCTTGAGAAATCCATTCCTTCTGTCATCCCTTAGTTTACCTACTCTCATTTTTGTGACCAAACGATACCATTCATCTTGTAAAAAACAATCATCGAAATTGTCAGCAATAGGTATAGTGGTATAGGTGTAGAAACATACATTGCTCTTTTCGATTCCCCCTAACTACAATTTTCCTCTTATAATGATGCGACCAAATAAAGTGTTTCGCCGAAATTTAATCGCTTTTCACACCCCCTATACCACACCCTACAAGGCTGAGGGCACAGTTATGGGGATTCCATTTGACTGCAAAAACACAACCTTTTATTTTTGTGTGGCCTCATGAAAGGTGAAATTATAGCGTTCCATTCAGTTCCCATTCACTTCAAAGACAATAATGCTAATTAGAAATGTCTGTGGGTGGTAATTAAGCTGAAGGACCCTTGTGCCACTTAAGAGCCATTGTCACGTGGCAAAATGCCCTTTAAATAAACAAGGGCGTCAGATACAAACAATTGGAATCGGAACAGGCTATGTCCGGCATCAATAGGGCGCTAAATGGAGTATTTACTAGCTCTACAATTAACTATGTCCTTTGTCCTTTAGCAGGAGCAGAAGCATGCAAAATCGAAGCAATGTAATATAATAAACGGTTGTAATGAGCTGCCACGTCACTTGATATCGTGGAACAGTGACATCTTACTTCACTTAGTTTAGATTCTGGTTTAGAGACCTACTAGTACTTTTCAGATTTATACCTATCTACTTTACCTATCCTTGTTTAATTGAGTATTTTTAACAAAACATGGTTGTTACTAGGGAATTCAGTTAACAATCGAGAATCGCTGGAGTTTATTTTAAACTCATTAAAATTCGTAGGTACTTTAGACTTCAGAAATGGAACTGTGATTTCCTGATTGATGAAAAAACACATTACTAATAGCAAATAAAATTCTCTTCCAGGTGCATCTGCCTACACTGGTACAACCGCAAATTCCGCGAGGAAGAAGAGGAAGAAGAACAACACCAGGCCCAGAAGAACGTCGTCAGCGTAGTGGAGAGTGGTCATGCCCACGCCCACACCCACACCCACACCCATGGCCATGACAAAGCCCACGCGCATGACAAAGCCCACGCGCACCACGAGAAGCCCAAGCTCAAGACTCAGGCCAGCGTGGGCAAAGACTTCGACCTGATAAAGCAGCCTTCGGCCGCCAGCGACACCTAAGACCCGACCAGTAGTTTAAGCGTTCATGTGCCGCTTGAGTGGCGCGGCGGCCATCTTGTTTTTTATCTGTCATGCCTGTCAAAATGGCGATTTTGTTTGCAACGCAATTACGCGAAATCTCTGATATTCCGAATTTAGCAGGCATTGTATTAGTTTGGGCATTTGTGCAATTATCATATATTTTATTATTTTTGCTTGTTTTCGTCTTTGATGTTTTTTTTGAACTAGTCATTTCTTCCCTTGTGGATAACCTGTTACTTAATTTATAAGTTATGTTGGTGAATGGGCCGCCGCGAGTTTGCGTGTGTGAATGCGGTGAACGAACGTAGATACGCGTGACTGTCACTCGATATCGAGCGACTAGTGTTTGTATTTTATGTACTTATTTTAAGGATATACCATTTTGGTTAATAATCCTGAATGTATGTGATTCTCATTAGCGTTAACCATTAATTGGAAGCTTGTTTTTGATATGCGGGCGTGTGACTTGTCTGGAGACATCCAGACCTCGTATTTTCCATACTCTTTTAATTTAACTTCAACTTTACGAGGTTATTTAGTTCCTGATCAGTTTTTATACCCGAATATCATAAACAGGCAATATTTAATCCCTACCACTTCTTGTACATATACATTATATGGTACAGTTTATTACATATCATTTTGATTAGTACCTACCCTTAAACCACCCCGTAGTTGACACATCTCTGATTTAGTTTACTCATAACTATCACCCTATTCTAAGTATCAAAATTTTAACTACGTTTTGCGGCGTTGCTTTAATATATTTTTGAGATGTTTACAAAATTTAATCCCAAATATTAATTGCTTAATTTTAAATTTATAATGGAATTTTAAATCGGAAACTACGGACCACATTTAAAAATATATTAAAAAGCATCCGATAAAACAAAATTAACAGCTAAAATGTATAAAGGAGATTATCTAAAATTTTAATTAAACCTTTTTATTAAAACTCTACCGTCCGTTAAAACAGAATGTTATTTATTATAAAATATATAATGAGATCTACGTTAATTTTAAAATATCCCGAACTTATATAAAATCATATTTTAAAGAAAGTAACTCAAATTCTGTAGACTCTAGAAATATTTTATTATCCCTTTTATACGTTTAATTTAATAAGTATCACTTCAAAATACATTCATTTATAAACGAGCTTATTTAATGTGACTTTTCAAAATGGAATCTCATACATTTGACCTTTTTTGTTTGAAGGAATCCATTCGTTTATCTACTGGTTAGATTATAATCGTTTCAAATTTAAATATAATTAATAACAATTAACAATAGTTCGTATTAGATGTTGTCAATCGATGTTTTTGAAATTACCAAAAAACTGCATAGACCAGTTGTAATGTATTATTAATAATGTGTATCAGAGAATCGTTTGAATGCGCCTGAAAAATGACACACGGACAAGTGACTCGTAAGGTTTGCAGCTCTAACACAAATTACTAAACAAAAAAATAATTAGCAAATTATCAGTGTCCAAAGCTGAAAAATCAAATTATGTGTGACCAGCTCAAACCTACTTTTGGACAGTTTCCTAAATTAATTGTAGATGGAGTCCGTCTGTCATATCAGGCTTTACATGTCTTGTAGGTTAAATAAAAATATAATATGCATCACTTGCATTTTACAGAATTACTCATAAGTTCCGATATCTGCATTTAAACTTTGGAAAAATATTAAAATTTTAATCCTAAGAGACTGAGAAGTGTTCTTAAGTAACTTTTCACGGACATAATCATTTTGATTGTTTCAAACTTTCATTCAAAACTTCATCGTTTCTCTCCAAGTAATAGAAACTCTCACGTCACAATGGTTTGATCATCTCGGGTCCAAGATATTGGTCCACGTTCAGACGTTCACTTTAATTGTAAATTTGTTAAATCTATAAAGATGTCTTTACGATGGCTATTACTCGTAAAATATATTTTGGGAAGTTTTCTGTTTCGAAAGTATATACTGTATTACGATTATTCACATCGAATCTGATTTTGCTGAACGGAACTCTTTAGATGTAATTTTGATCGACGTTTTAACTCACTGAAGAATGCTTCTTTTACTCTTTCTCGGGTCACCTTCCTCGAACATTTATCATTAAATTAAGCACACACTCATAATTTTAATCAGGGTATAATAATTAACTTTATCTTAATATCACACTGCTATTGTGTTTTACGAAAAATCAATTAATTTTAATTCTATTTATTGTCTGTCTTTTGTTAATTTTGAGGCACTGTGACATCTGTCACGGCATGACTAAAAATAGCATCAAACGTGATAGAATTACATCTAAATCTCAACTAATTAAACCTATTCTTAATGAAGACATTGTATGTTGTGCTGGTATAATGATAATGGGTGTTTATTTGAGTATTCCATACTATAATAATTATTTGATGTGATAGATTTAAGGATCTAGCGTAACGCAGTACCTATTAATTAATTATTTCAGGAGCGCTATTAAGAAACCGAATTCTTTAGGAAGTTGCCAAAAGTATGTTTATTTCGGTTACAATGACTGGGACTGCTTGTTAGCTATTAAAGGCATTTATAAATGCGCCGAGATGACGAATTTAGCGGTTAAAATACCTGCCTGTGCGGAAATATCTTTCAATGATCCGCAACAAAAAATGCCAAAAATATCTTCATTGAAACATAAAGCAAAAGCAAGGGCAATAAAATAGTTGTCAATTAAATATCAAGTGACAAGAACTCGATACATTTGACACCTATCTTACTTCAATTAAGTCTCAGCATATCACTAAATCGCCGAATACCGTAACGTTAAATTATCGATGAGTAACGCTTCTTAAAAACTGCCGTGCCAAAGGAAAGTGGTCAAACCACTCGTTGAAGGGATGTTGTTGGTGTTTGTATGGGAATGGTATTGATGGTTCCGTGCAGGGTGGCAGAAATTAACTAGATTTACTGGAACTAGTATTTTACTAGGTATCGCGAAAAAATACTCGGATCACCACTTAGAGTTTCACGTATCGCGTTCTGCCTGCCACCCTGTATTTCGTCGGAATATTGCTCTTGAATTTATTTTGAGAATTTTGTATAAATACGTAAAAAGTTTTCATTTATATTAGCGTCTTTATAAGACACTTAAATTAATGTTTGTATTGTTAAGAGCTTGTCCATTGTATTGCAGCAGTTAATTACTTACGTTGGAAAATAATGGAATTTTATTAATGGTGCACTTTTGTTAAGCCTGGCCTTCATATGATCGCTGAATCGAATTGCATGAGAGTAAGAACTATTTTGTATGTTGTATGCCAAGTGAAACTCTACATAAAAAGGTTTAGAAAAGAACCAATGCAATTCTATTTGACTAGTCCATTGAAAAAGGTTTTAATTATTAATTTATTAACGTGTTTACAATATTAAGTTTATTGTTAAGGTAACTTTATTAATGTTATTTTAACTTGCGTTGTATTGTGGAAATACCATTGATTTTATATTTGAAGAGTATATTTAATTGTTAAATTACATTAAGATTATAACAAATTATTTTGAATCTCTTTACTAATATTTGACACAAATGAAATAGGGAGGAAGAGTGAGGAATGACGTGTATGATGGAATTGATTTTAAAAAATAAAACGTCAAATATTTGACGTTTTAACTCTCAGTCATTATTATCTAAGTACAATCGCGTACAAAGTACTTTAGTTCTTCTGTAATTTAATTTACAGCATACATTCCGGTGTTGCTTTGTATGTGTCGATTTATCGCCAAATAAATATAAATAAATGCATAAATTAGTGTTTAGGATAATACAATGTATCATTAATATTTAAAACATTGATGTTATAACTGAATATCCACAAAAAACAGAATGTCCCGTATTTATATTTCAGCTCTTCTCTCATCATTTAGAATGATCATTAAAAGATAACTTTTCATTTTAGAAACGTTTTTTTTTAGCGTAAACGAAATTCAATTGTTTTTTTACTAATTTTCATTTCCGCTGATGAATTAATTATTTTTTATACCTATATTAATAATTATTTTACATTAAAAATGCTTAGGGAAGAGCTTCACACGTTTACTCTACAATCTATACATCTACCACTATCTATTCACTGTGATTAAATAATTTTAAGATTAATATTAATCGTGAAACTTTGTTACAAAATAAGTTTTTTTTTTCATGGTAATTGGGCACATCTTGCGTGTAATAATTGAAAGATATTACTTGTTCCCATGATAATAAAATAATAATTCATTTACAACTCAAAATTATTTGCTAATTCTGACAATAAAAATAAAGATTTAAAACTCTACCAACTCAAAAGTGTAAATTCAGATGATTTCAAAATTATTATGGGAACTTGCTTGCATAGTAAATAATTTAAAATTTATATCACAGTGAATAAACATTCTTTTACATTAACCATCTGTTCTGATGATTTTGATATTTTCAGTTGGATCATCGGATGGAGTCAGTTCTTGAGTAGAGGAAATGTCACAAAGTCATTCTCTGACATTTAGATATCTTGAGAATTAAGCCCAAAATTCAATACAAACTCAAGCAAAAATTATGGAGGGAGAAAGAGAAACTAATCAAAATAAAAATAGCGAAATCGTCTAAAATTAAACATATGATTTTCTTCAAAATTTAACACCTGTCCCTTGCCGATTGCAGCGCATGTCAAGAAAATTTAAAATTACTACGACTTGATTCATTTTTATATGTTGTTGTACCTAATTTTATTATAACAGTAGCAGTAGTAGTACTCGTACATACTTAATTTCAGGTTAACGTTCTGGCGATTGGACAATAATTTTATTTATTTAATTAAGTAAATGATATATTTAAAAGTCCTCGAGACTTTAAGACTCTACACTGACTGCTGACTCCACGCCATCTCACAAAACCATGGTTTAACCTTTGTTGGACTATTGACATGTTTTATATTAATATATTTTAGTTTAATTACGACTGCGCTGTTTTATATCTCATATATTTTATACCAATAACTCTAAATAAAATGTGGACGGAAAACTTGTGTGTTTGACTACCCAAAATTTTTTTTTTTATAATATGTTTTGTTTTTGAAAATTATTTATAGTTACGTTTAATCTGTGGTCTGACGCTTGCTCGACGCAGAGGTCTGGGTTCGATTCCTAGATGAAACACATAATACCGAAAATCGCTGTGTTTATTAATGAGGGTTTTCGCGAATGAAAAATCCACCAGATGGCAATACGTAGACGCGAGGTCCAAATGCTGCATGATTGGTTATTTTTGACATGCCATTGACAGATATGTCAAAATCCACCAATCACGCAGCAGTCAGCAGACCCCACATCCACGTCCCGCCATCTAGCGGATCTTTCATTCGCGAAAACCCTCATTGCGTGAATCAACAACCAACCAACTCTTTTAATAAATATTTGACAATTTACTCATTATCATCATTTACAAATTTATTTATAGATCAGGTAATATTGTTATAATAATTATGGCGTATATCTTTGATTTATTTATCTTTCGGTTAAATACCTAATTTGAATATTATTTTACTCCCTAACAATAAAAATACAACATTAATTCGCGCCCTTTGAATTGCGATGAAGCGCCATCTATTTGCTCTATGACAAAATATCAAACCCACCTCAGGAACCGTAAAGAGCTTTATCCTCTGGCAAATAAGTAACTACTTCGGTGTACAGAGGGCGCTAGCTGCCAATATTATCCATAAGATTTTCAATTTTGATTTAATTCGATGTCCTTATTTATTGCGGTACTAATTAATGAGTAAATTCCTCAAAATATAATTAAGAAATAATAGATTAAGAAGACAACATTAATCAAAGTTTTAACTTTTTACCTACAGATGGAAGTTTGGCAACGTCGCAATCGCAAACTAGGTACTACACAAATCGCCAGTAGCTGCGACGCGCTCATTTCTGTCAGTCGCACAAAACAAAAATGGCGGCAATACCTTTCAACGATAAAGTTATGCTTATTCAAGAAGTGCAAAGTCATCCCGTGTTATGGAATGGTGAACACGCGAAATATGGGGACAGATTTTACACAGCGGCAGCTTGGAACAATATATCTCGCAAAATGAATATTCCAGGTTAGTTTACCTGATGTCAAAACATCTGCGTCTCTTCTCTTCCGTCATGTACTTGACATAGTAGTTCCAGTTATACAAAAGAGATGGCGTTAGAAGTATTTATTTAGTATAGTCAACTTAATTATAACATGTTTTTTTAGTCAATGCCCTTTGTTATTGTGTTTTAATAAAGCCAACATTGCCTAACTCTTTGCCCCATGTATAATAAAAAAATAAAACGTTCATTAATAATTGTTGCAGAGAATATTCTAAGAAGAAAATGGAAAAATCTTCGTGACACATTCAGAAACATACAAAAAAAATCTGCGATATCTGATCTTAAAAAGTATAACGGAAAATGGAGATATTTTCGTCTTATGACTTTCATCGCAGATGAACATAGAGAAGATGACGACTCAGTAGAATTTATAGTTGAATCTGAAAGTGACGAAGAAAGATCCGATAGAGAATCCCGAGTCTCATGTCCCACACATGGTAAAAATGATGATAGTGAATCGGACTTTTCAAAACATGATACGAGTCATGATGATGAATCCAGCAATGGCAAGTGTGAAAATGAGAAAAACCAAGGAATAACAAAAGACAATGGCAACAAACGGCAAAATTATGACACTAAAGATGAAAAACTAGAAGAAAATAACTCAAACTCAGAAGATGAAATCCCTGTAAAACGCCAAAAAACATCTAATAGACTTTCAAATTATGACGTGATGTTTTTAAAGTCATTAGCCCCGTATTTTAAACAGTTAGAACCGCTAAGGAAACTGGTTATGAGAAGTAGAATTCAAAATTTATTGCTTAATGAAATTGCGGAGCAAAATTCTGAACACAAATCTGATAGCTAGTAGGTATGCCCCTATGCCTTGTAGGTATTTTTAGCAAGAGCGCCTAGCTGAATTGGATCATTCACAATTTGAATTTGTTGTTAACAGTTAGTTCGACCTACCTACTATTTTTCTTTTATTCAATGAAACAATAAATGTTTTAATAAGTAAAACGTGGTAAAACCAAAGTTTTTATTATTCGTGAACCTTAGAAACATCTACACCACGTAGCATATCACCACATTTGTGGATTTTATCATTACCTTATCATTTTAGTTTATATTTTAAATAGTAATTTTAGTTACATTCATACACAACCTGCACAGAAAACGCGGTGCCATAAATAAATAACCTTTTTCTGGGTCTGCCTGTACCTAGCTTCTGCACAAAGCGGCAACGCCGCATGTTAGTTACCGTTTCCTTTTGTTGATGTCTTGCGTCTCGCTCGGCTGCCGCCACAATGACGTGTTACGTAAAGCAGCCCCAATAATTCAAGGAAACTCGCCTTTATTGCTATGAAACTTAATAATAATTGACAGATGCGAGGTAGTCTCGATCACTTTGCGTAATAAATGAATGATTATTCGGCTATGTGTGAGGGGCGGTGCGGCGGCGCGTGTCATATTATTTTCAATCGCGCAACGCCGCGATGCGCGAGTAGCAAATACAAATCGCCGGAACAAAATGGTGCGCCGTCGTCAGCTGAGTTATCAAACTACGATACGACTGATCAAGGAAGTGAAAAAGCATCCCTGCATCTGGAACAGGGAAGACGAGAAATATAACGACGTATACAGCGTCGGTCTGGCGTGGAAGACTATTGCCTGCAGGCTACAGTTACCGGGTGAGTCCTTGGCTCTGCCGGCTTTGTTTTTGTTTTGGATGTTTATTAGTTTGAAGCGGTGAATATAGATGGCGCCACCTCGTGAAGGTTATTTCTTGTTTTTCTGTTTATTTCTATTTCAGTGTTAAAGCAAAAAGTTAATGAAACACATCCCATGTTACTAATGTTTCTTTTCTGTGTTTATTACGCGAATTTGCCCCTGTCTAGGTTTTTGTATGTAGTTGTAGATGTAGGCTTACCTACTTACTGCCAACACCAACCTACTTTGTATTCTCGTTTTTCATGAAAATGTAGAATGTAGGTAGGTAGGAGGCCTACCTATATCTCTTGTTGGGCTTGCGACTATTCTTACTTCATTAGATAGATTTAAAGTGGTCGTTTGTCTGAACCTCAGATCATAGAAGGGATCTATGATCTGAGGTCTAAACGTGTGTAAACTCAGCGCCGATAACCAATTTCACCGAAATCAAAGTAAGCCCACTTTGACAATCTTTGCCACTGGAGCTCCTTGGAGCCCTACTAAAATCATTTTATTTTTGAGCTAACTTTACCACACTGGTAATAAACTTCTTTTTCACCTTTCACAGAAGAAGCAGTCAAAATAAAATGGAAGAACCTCCGGGACTGTTTCAATAGAGAAATCAAGAAGAACCCGTCGTCTCTGACAAACTACACTGGCAACTGGGCATTTTTCCAGGAAATGTTCTTCACTATAACACTTAAAAAACTCAAATCGGAAGCCGACATTGAAGTGGAGTACTTGGAAATCCACGATGAGGAACTGACGACAGAATTGGAACTGGAAGACGAAAAACCAGACGACTATTATGATATGCTCTTTTTGGAATCCTTAGCTCCGTATTTCAAAGAATTAGATCCAGTAAGGAAGCTGGAGATGAGGAGCAAGATCCAAGAAATGCTGGAGAGAGAGATATCCATTCAAAATAACGAGAACGGCAGTCAGGAGGAAAATTTCGACGACATTTATATCGATGAAAATGCAGACATGACCTACGTTACATGATGACGACATTATTTTTAGGGCATACAAAAGGAATCTTTAAAAAGTTTTAGTGATAAAGTGACACTATAATAGCAAAGCAAAGACTGTGGTGTAAAACTTTTTAATGTGACTGATTGAACCGAGTGACTTTGTTTAATTTTTTGTACACCTAATTTGTGTTTCAACAAAATGACGTGAGTTATAAAATGTTTCTTTTACTTACCTACTATCAAGATGATGTTATTTACATAAATTGTGTTGCAAAACCATACAAATCTTTATATCATTGTTTTATGTATAAAGAGGACCCTAGACTCTCGTTTTCTTTCAGAGTAAAGAATTTTTCCCAAAAAATATCCATTTAAACATACGAAGAGCCTTAGATTAATAAAGCCAAATGAGTGAACTTAATTCATTGAATCATTGTCACTTATCGCGGTCTACTAACGTAGCTTTTAGTCTGTCCTGGATTAGCCATCAATGTGAAGTCTTCCAGGTCGTCAAACAATGCAGAACTACCTAGTCAATTTCTAAAATTTTGGAAAGGTTGACGAGTTCCGCTAGATTGTCAACATTCCCATCTTTTGAGTAGGTATTTTGCTTCATCTCATCAAACAGTTTCTTCTCCAGATTGTCTAACTTCAGTAGCCTGGTAAGCAAATGAGTAATTTCGTTTTCAATCTTAAACAAGACATTATTATTGCCTTCAGTATGAAGACGAAACCTTCCATTTTGGCATTGAATTATTTCATTTCGCAATTTTCGGTTTCACCAATTTCAAAGAAGTCAAGAATGCCAATGTAGGTATCTCTAAAGGTGAGTATAGAAATGACAGACTAGAGCATTTCTATGTAATCTAGCGTTCTTACAAATGGTACGATGTAAGTAAATTATACGACGTTTGGTTGTGTTGTAATGATACACTATTATGATCCTGGCCTCAACGACGATGAAAACCATTTCTCTCCAACTCCTCTATAGTGCTTTCCTCTGTATCTGATACACTTTGAGATTGTCATGTAGTTATAGACGGTGTTGTATGAGTGGCCCGATTGTCTCGCTTTCGGTTGTGCGAGTGAGCCGGGTTTTCGCTGCTCGGCTCGGCCGGCGAAGCGTAATACGCGCATGAGCATGAGACTACTATTGTTCGTCGCTTCACATCGTCCCGACAGTACTCAGCACTTCTTGCGTTTTTTTTTTATCCACAACGAGGAAGCTCTTAGCCTGTATGGTAAGTGACGATCAGGCCGAAGGTGGAAGCGAGCTTCACCCGGAATCCTCAACCACGGAGGAACTGCTTATCTTACCTCTAACTGCTGGAACACAACTCAGTAACTCTGGCGCAGGCGCCTATGATTGCACCGGCGATGGCAATATGCACGCGTTGGTGTGGTTGATGCTTAATTCAAAATTGCGAAAAGGACCTGACAAATACATCACTGTCATGTCAGGAGCAGCACAGACACGATGATTCAGATTAATAAACTCCACTCATGATATCCCTTTTTGCCTAGCATTGAGGAACTTCAAAGATGAAATTTATCGCAAAGGGCTTCCACAGTTCGACATCAGCAACACATGAAATAAATATTTGTTGATTTCCTTAAAATCCATTTTTTATTACAATATGCAGTTTTTACTTTAAATTTCAGCTTGTAACGATTTGTTTTTCGAAGAAGTTTTGTCATGGAATTTTCTCAATCTCCGCCTCCCATTTCTGTAATTGCTCTAAATATTAAAAAAACACGGGTTTTGAGCCAATGTGAGCATTCGTATTTTTTTTTCTTACCTACCCGCTTCTGTCTAGTAATTTTACCCCGCTATTATTCGCTGCTTTCTACACTAGTCTACGAACTGACGTGACTCACTACGTACCTCCGTCGCGCCGCATCGGGGTTAGGTACCGTTTCTTCTTTCTGGAACCTTCAATCGTAGAAGTCCGCAGGGGTATTGTATTAGGCCTGAACTGTTCAGCCAACGCTGAGAACTGAAATATTGTGGAGTGTATTTTGTGAAGTGCGCTTTATATGGGTCGAGCCTGGTCCTTCTCTATCTTCCATCTTGAGAGCAGATGAGAGATTGGGAACCGCGGCTCACGCCTCTGAAACTGCTGGTGCTGGTGGATTGCAGAATTTGCAGAACGGGTGAGTGCGCTATTTGTAATCAATCTTCTTTCTTTATCTCCTTTCTAAATCATAAAATTAACTCGCATTCGCTGTATAGCTGTGTACCTATGCGTAGTTCGTACACACGGTTTGGATCTATGATCGGGTTTGAGTCGAATTTGAAGCAATTATTTTATGATAAGACGCTGTAGAAGTCTAGAAGATACCTACCTACTGCTGAATTCCTGATTGATGCTACAGTAGAAACGATACCTTCTTGCTTAAGTGAAAGAGCAAATCGAATGCATAGCGTTGAATTGGGCGCTGTGATTGGTCCGTGTGTCACCCTGTGCGTGCACGCGCACTGTGAGACCTCATAGTAATGTTTGTGAACACGGGCGTCAGAGTGCTGCTGACTGAAGTTTTGTAAGGTAGGTAGGTTATTAAGTAAAGTTATTTTTACTTACAATTTATAAAATCTGTTCGAATTTCGAACCTGTCAACGCTCTAGCTAGAATAAATGGACTGCGGTACTAAATCGCAACTGTTAGGCCTCAGCCTCGAACTTAGCGGGCAGCGGGGCGGGAGCGGCGGCGGCGCTGGAGCGGGGCGGGCAACGCAGACCCGTTCTCGAAACAAGCGGGCAGCTCGCGCAGCGCTTTAGCGGCGAAGTGTTGTGTTCGAGGTTGTGTTGTCGAGATATTTCTTTTTATTCGCAAACGAAATGTCTGAACAACGGCGACAATTTTATTTCGATTCAAATTTATTCCTAACGCTCGATTTATTGTGGGCAAAAGAAGGAGTGCGCTGCCCGCTCGTTGCCCGCTCCCTCGCCGCTGCCCGCTCGTTGCCCGCTGCCGCCCCTCTGCCGCGCCGCTGTTTTCGAGAACCGGTCTATTTGATTTTACGCATAAGATCCTGCCGCTCCCGCGCCGCCGCCGCCGCCGCCCCGCTGCCCGCTAAGTTCGAGGCTGAGGCCTTAAAGTTAAAACACGGGATATCCCGTATATTAAAATAAACTTCGTGTGTTTTTTATTGGTCACAGAATAACCCATTGAATAAAAGGTAAGCAGCATACTCAGTTATTTCTTTCGGATAGACCTAATGATCTTTGTATGAGGAAATCTCAGGCTACAAGCCCTAGTTGGTCTTATAATTTTGTTGACTTCATATTATTATTTCAGCCTGTCAGCCAAAGCAATCTTTCTGCATTTTATCTTCTACTAGCGGCCGCGGGGGTCCCGTTTTACCCCCCAGGGTATTTTTATTTTCAGGGATTTTACGAAACTCCACCCCTTAGGGGTCCCCCTTAGGGGTGGAGTTTCGTAAAATCCGTTCTTAGTGAGCACCTACGTTCTAAAAGGAACCCTCATGCAAAATTTGAGACTCCTAGCACTTGTAGATATCGGTAGAATAACGCATTTTTAGAATGTGGTTTAAGCATTAAGAATTTTAAGATCAAACTTGTTCCCTGCTAGACTAGCATTCGATTTTGTTCTTCAGTCGGCATTTTAGCTAGACTTACTAATCGCACACACACTACTTCTGTCTGTATTATTCGAAAATGCCCCTTGCGTTGCGTTTGAAAGTTTTTATTATGACTATGCGCGCTGTTGCCGGCCCGCCAACCCAAACAAGGCGCGGGGCGGCAACGCCGCGTGCGGTGAATCGATCCCCCGCCTCGCACAGGTCTCTAGTGATGCTAATTACAACACATTACCGGTTATTTGGATAAATTAAAAATCTTCAGCATTTTTAAAATGGGGGATGATCTTTGGAATAATGGAAATTCATGTTTTTGCAGATATCAACAGTCAACTTCATCCTATTAAAATATTAATTCCACAACAAATGCCATTCGATATCTTTAGCAAGAATTACGTGAGTGGTATTAATTTCTTGACATGCTACAAAACTTTTGGGGGTAGAAAAAGAAACTAACCAGTAGCCAAATTAACACTTATCATTATCATGTTTATCAATCATAACTTTTCAATTATTAGTAGTATGTACCTACATCACGATGTCATCATTGATCCTACAATTAGAAATAATTTGTGACGCTTACAACATTTTAGCACATTACTTGCAATAGGTAGGTAAACAAAAGTACACTATGAAACATGAAGGGAAATGCCCGTCCGCAACAGTAACCCCCTAGATCCCTTCAGTTCCTTTGTGTTCCGATTCTTTGATTTGTCTCTTTGTCTCCTTCAATAGCCATCAATCCGTCATTCATAGTGCCCGTGACAAATACAATCAGTTCACTCCTACCAGCCTTATGACGATCACCATAAAGTTCTGGAAACATCGTGACAATTTCGGCCCATCTAATCGTTCCACTTCCGAACATTTCCAGGATTGTTATTATTATATTTACTCGTAGTTGAAAGATGCGGTTGACTTGATCATTGTTAATGTTATTGCAGTAGTAAATTCTCCTGATGGAAAAACCCGAAGGTCTGTACTAAATATTGTTTACAAACGGTGCACATTCATTCTCACACGATATTCATTGATAATTCTAAAACTTTAATATTTGCACACTATCTATGCCAGTGATTGTTGGCATTTGGACATCTCACATGGATTGTTGTGCGCTATCCTGTATTTTACATATTTTTTTTGTTATGGAATGACCTGCTGCAGTGGTTGTTTCTACGAATATGACTATACAAAATTCTTAAAATTGCTTACCATGTGGCAGGAGACCATATTCATGTGTCCGTATATTGCCTTTTTTACAAAAAGGTGTATACGTGAATTTTAAATCACCTCACGCTGTGCCTCAAGCATCTGACTAACGTAGATCGTAATAAATATTAAGGCAATATACTAGTAGTTATAATGAAGTTGGAAATCAGCATTGCTGACAGATAGCTCATCTACGTATTAAGGGTGATATGATTATTACACATAATCCTAACTTATCCCTGGGTTTATTACAAGTATTATAACGCCCAATTTGATGGGACTGTAA